CACCGTCAGGTACAGCACTGGCACCGCAGCAGGGTTATGGTGCTCTCCTTGTCCCTTGGGCTGTTCCCACCGATTTCCCCTTCTGCAGCCTCAAATCTCGCCTCCACCAGTGCTGAGGATGTCCTTCACCCATCACAGCCCCCAGCCCCACCGGTTTGGCTTCTCCTGGGGTGCCCCAACCCAGCAGGCAGCCGAGGCAGCACCTCTGGCTATCAAACACCCTTGCCCACCTGCAGGGCTTGCCAACAGGCCACCCAGCCTCTAGCACCGGCCTGGCCGTGGCTTTCCATCACCTGGCTCTCTCCTGCAGGTGCTTCAGCTTCGGCATGGGCCTGCGGGTGTGCCGGCGGCTGCTGAAGCGCATGGCCAAGGGCAGCCGGGGGCGTGGCGAGGTCTTGAGCCCGGCCGAGAGGCTGCAGCCCAAGGTAACACCCAGGCAGGGACAGGAGGGCTCAGGGGACATGGGGCCACCACAGTGTCCAACACCAGGTCCTCTCCCTGCCCCAGCTGATCAAGGCCCTGAAGAAGGCAATCGAGCCGGCCATCAGCGACATCACCATCGACTGGTACGTCCCCGACAGCATGGAGGCTCTGCTCTCGCCCACCGAGCTCCCGGCCCTCTACCCTGGCGACCGCCTTGTCAGCTACTGCGTCCTCTACAGCATTGCCCGCTTCCGCGACAGGCGCCCGCTGGTACGACGGGCACTGGCCTGGCATGGGAAGGATGGCACGTTTCTGGTGCCGTCAGCTTCTCCCCAGGGTCTGACAGCAATGCCCTCTCTCCCCCAGGGCTGGGAAGGGGCTCGCCAGGGCTCCCGGGGCTCAGCCTTCCCCTCCCAGGAGGAGGTGCCAAGTCCTGGGGAGAGCCGCCGGCTGCCCAGGAGCACCCCAGGGTCTGGGGACGCCTCCCTGGAGCTCTCTGCCGGGGGCACGGAGATGTCGGAGCGGAGTGAGTGAGACCGGGACCAGGGTGGGGGGCAGGTGTGGGAGCCATGGGCTGACAAGGTGCACACTCGCCGGGCAGGTGCAGACCCCGTTTCGGGGGGAGACATCTGGAAGCGGATTTACCAGCCCTCCTACATCCAGGAGCAGTATGTCCTGACGCACTGCTCCGTCAGCACTGACCGCAGCCAGGGGCTGCTCTCCCGCAGCTCCACCAGCAGCGAGTCCACCGGCTCCCGCGACGTAGCCCCCGAGGGTGGCTCCTTGGCCCCTGGCACTGATGCCACCTCCCAGCAGGGCCAGAAGAGCCTGTCCCTCTGCGAGTCCTCCACCAAATCTGCCCCACTGCCCTCCACCCTGGCTGGCACCAAGGTAAGGATGCCAATGGGGTGCAAGGGCTCACGCATGGTGGGGGGTTGCTCCTGGCTTAGTGAGGGTCTCTCTGCCCTGTTGTGCCCCGACACGTGGCCACCGGACTGGAAACCAGCGTGCTGTAGCCTGGATTTTGAGCAAGGATCAGCCGTGGGTGCTACGAGGAGGATCCTCAGATTGTTTTGCCCTACTGAAATGGGACAGCTGGCCACCAAGCAGCTGGTCCCCCAGCTGCTTGGGCCAGTAGTCAGTTGGGTGGCTAACAAACCCTCTAGCCAGCTCAGATCCTCATTGATGCTGCAGAAATCAAGTTAAAATAGCTGGGCCAGCATCAGGTAACAAACCTGCCAAGCTGGAGAGGAGTGGGTGGGTTGGCTAAACTCCTGCCTGGCTCCTTCAGCCCTCAGCCAATGCTGCCAGATGCTTCGTTAGCGATAGGCCATGTCCCTGCTGCTTCACACCTGGGTTTAAAACCCAGCTGGGTTGCTGGGATGGGGAGAGACAGCTCCCCTGGTGATGATGGCCCCGAGGCCAGGTGAGACCGGCTGTCACCCAGCTCCAGGACACACTTCTTCCCGGTGGCATGGGTTAGGTAACCAGCTCCCGCCACACAACAGCACAGCTGGTGGCCTTTGCTGCCGAAATGTCAAGCGTAAGTGATTTCCCCACAGCATAAATGATCCCTCCCCACTGCCAGGGCGAGAGGCAGCATGGGCACCGCTGCCCTGCTGTAGCTTTCAGGTGAAGGATCTCGGTGTGGGGACGTGGCTCCGTGTTGGGACCCGCATCCCACCATAGCATCATCCAGCCTGAGCAACTGAGCTGAACCCCCCCCGGCACATGCAAAAATCCACACCAACTCCTCCTGCCTCAGCATCAGCCTGAGTCAGCCCCAGGGTTGTTTGCAAACTCCCATCTCGGTGCCGTCAGTCTTTCCCATGCGAATGAGGAGCCTAGCGAGTGTCGCCCACCGCCCTAGGAGGCTGCTGGGTGCCAGGCTGCAGAGCGGCAGGGGGGGGGGGT